CCCTAAATTAAGTAAGAAGAAGCTCACAATGTTGAATGTTTTGAAGAGTCTGTAACAGCCAGCACACTAGTCTCACTGGGAGCCATGTTGTTCCTTTACATTGCCCTGCAGGTATAGCGTAAATCTTCCCTGGAAACTCTGCAGGTGAAGCTGAGTGGAAAGCCTAATCTTAGCTTTAGCTGATGAGTGGATGAACATGAGAGTACGTATCAGGATTTATAAAGAACTGTCTTTTCTATACTGTTCCTACCTTGGGAATCGTGGCTAACTTTTACACCAGAAGAGCTCTAGAAGGTGACAAGGTGCAAATATAAAGGGACAGTCTGCCACTCAGAAGCAGTGCTTCAAAGCATTGCATGAGGTTGTGGGCATGCAATCTGTTGGTCTAATGATGTTTCAAACAAGGAGCCCTCTAGAGTGATCAAGAAATATGTGAAGGTTCACAGTGTTAACTTTATCTGGGCACAGAAAAATTACATACAGAACAGTAAAATCCACTGAATACAGTGGGTTATAGTTTTACTTTTATCAAATGGGTGTCTGAAGCTGCTCTCTAATCCCAGTTTAACACTCTGTTTAGGTTAGTAAAGGAAGTGGCAGTCTCTCATCATTCAGTCTCCCAGTTTCTGCGTCCAGTGCACCTGAGGTCTTTGAAAGTAATCTGAAGAAGAATACTGGTAAGGTTTCTCTGGTGCTTTCAGTATTTTATATGTGTGAACTGGTAGCTGAAATCTTTCACTTCCTCTAAAATGTTGTCATTATGTGCTGTAGGTCTGAAAGTGATTCCTTAGTCATTAAAACACTACAGAGGTGGTTATGGTGCAGCACATCATGTATATCTTTGAATACCCTTTTATAAAAGAAACTTGTTACACCAGCAGCGTAGATGTTGAGGATCTAAACTGAGCCATAATTTTCTGTTTAATCTAAATACATCTTCAGTCAAGAAGTCTCATTCATATAAATCCAGATACTGCATAGTTAAATTAGAATAGATATGGAGTTGCTGTCTCATGCTCAAATTTAGAACAAAGTTATTTCTGACCAAAGTATTGCTAGCAAATAATAGTTCTTTCTATTCTACGTGAGCATGGTTAGCAGTCTTATTCCAAAAGTTATTTAAATGGAGAGTATGAACAACTTTTTCACCTATTCTAGAAATATTACAATCCTATTGATATCACAGAATCACAGAATATTAGGAGTTGGAAGAGACCTTGAAAGATCACCCAGTCCAACCCCCCTGCCAGAGCAGGATCACCTAGACTAGGTCACACAGGAACACATTCAGCCGGGTTTTGAATGTCTCCAGAGAAGGAGCCTCCACAGCCTCTCTGGGCAGCCTGGTCCAGTGCTCTGTCACCCTCACAGTAAAGAAGATTTTCCTCATGTTCAGGTTGAACCTCCTATGCTCCAGTTTGTACCCCTTGCCACTTGTCCTATCATTTGCTGTCACTGAGAAGAGCCTGGCTCCTTCCTCCTGACACTCACCCTTTACAAATTTATAAACATGAATGAGGTCACTCCTCAGTCTCCTCTTCTCCAAGCTAAAGAGACCCAGCTCCCTCAGCTGCTTCTCATAAGGGAGATGCTCCACTCCCTCAATCATCTTTGTGGCTCTGCACTGGACTCTTTCAAGCAATTCCCTGTCCTTCTTGAACTGAGGGGCCCAGAACTGGACACAATATTCCAGATGGGGTCTCACCAGGGCAGAGTAGAGGGGAAAGAGAACGTCTCTTGCCCTACTAACCACAGCTCTTTTGATACACCCCAGGGATGCCATTGGCCTTCTTGGCCACAAGGGCACATTGCTGGCTCATGGTCATCCTGCTGTCCACCAACACCCCCAGGTCCTTTTCTGCCTGGCAGCTTTCCAGCCACTCCTCCCCAAGCCTATAGCGCTGCACGGGGTTATTGCGACTGAAGTGCAGGACCTGGCACTTGGCCTTGTTGAACCTCATACAATTGGCCTCAGCCCATTGATTCAGCCTGTCCTACCCTCAGGCAGATCAACGCTCCCTCCCAACTTAGTGTCATCTGCAAACTTGCTGAGGTAGCACTCAATCCCCTCATCCACATCATTGATAAAGATGTTAAACAGGACTGTCCCCAAATCTGAGCCCTGGGGAACACCGCTTGTGACTGGTCGCCAGCTGGATTTAGCTCCATTCACCACAGCTCTCTGTGCTCAGCCATCCAGCCAGTTTTTAACCCAGCAAAGCGTATGCCCATCCAAGGCATGCCCAGCCAGCTTCTCCAGGAGGATGCTGCAGGAGACGGTGTCAAAGGCCTTACTAAAGTCCAGGTAGACAACGTCCACAGCCTTCCCCTCATCCACCAAGCAGGTCACCTCATCGTAAAAGGAGATAAGATTAGTCATTTTCAAAATCTGATTAAAATGTATATCTACAATAAACCAGCAGAAAGTTAGAATCATCATAGTGGTTTGGATAACTAATGGAAAACTTTCCTAAAAATGCTAGTTTAACTTTTTTTTTTTAATTTCATTTGACAGCAGCTTATGAAATACAGGGACTAAGAACAGTTGAAATAAAAAAGGTAAGTTACAGCATGAAGTAGTATGCATAAGGAACAGGTTTTGGAGATTATGTCAGTAGATGTGTTTACTGAAAGTAAGAAGTCTGGCCCTGTTAATCATTTTGAGAGAAGAATTGATGTGGCAATAGCTAATTACTTTGCCTGTCTTTTCAGGTCAAGACTGTATGATCTACACTGTCTCTATTTCTATGCAAAATCAGTGTCATTTATGCTATCACATTTTCTGACCTGTGTTTAAAAGAAAAAAAATGAAGGATTAATAAGAGATAATGAGACCTATTTTTACTGTTACCAGGCTGACTTAAATCCAGACTCTGTTTTATTGAAGTCAAGGAAACTGTACTGAAGTTGCAAGCCTACTGTTTGATATTTTGTATTTTTCTTCAAACATATTTTTAATGGGTAGGCTCTTAAATGATCTGAGCTGCCAGGTTTTCAACTGTGCAGTTCAATTGCCTTCCTTATTTACTGGAGCATGAGATCTCACTGACGGAATGCTTCTGATTGTCTGAAATAATTACATTTATTTGACTTTGCCTGGCCTCTACTTCACTTGATTACGTCAATTTTATTAAGTCATTCTATTTTTTTTCAGTAGAAGATGCAAATACCAATTTACAGTAGCTTTTGTGGTTAGGTAATAGGGTGTTGTACAGTAGTGAACAACTAGTTTTGTTCTTCAGTAGGACAGTAGGGGGAGCATAAAGATTAATTCTAGTGTTCAGGAGGTTGATAATAGGAGACTGATATAGACAGTACTAAGAACAAGCAATCCCATCTGTCCAGGTTTCCTTGCCCAGACCTTTTATGCTGACATTAAGGGTCTGATGCTGTATTCCATATTTAGTTTGGTTAAGATAAAGCATACAACCAAGTCACCAAATTGTCACCTCCCACTGATAGGAAGAAACATATAGTGTGCTCTCTGCACTTTCGCAAAATGGTGCAAAGTGTATTAGCATAAAAAAGAACTTGAGACGTAGAAATTCTGATTTTGATAAGATAGGGAGTTCAGTAATTTTTTTGAGGTTAAGCCTACAGTTCTCTGTATGTCTTTTGCTTTCCAGAAAAATCTAACCTTTTTTCATGACAATAACAGGGCCCTGCAGATTCACTAGGAGCGAGCATTGCTGGAGGTGTAGGAAGTCCTCTTGGAGACGTTCCTATATTTATTGCCATGATGCATCCTAATGGAGTTGCAGCTCAGACTCAGAAACTCAAAGTAAGTTAATTGTTAAGAAGGTTGTAGATTGCATGGGTAATGCACAGTAATTTCTCTAGGCAGACAATAAATTAGCAGTTTAATGATACAGTCATAGGTGTTTCTGGCTGTGACAAGAATTTTTTTGCTGTTTGAACAGATGAAACAGTAACTCAGTACATGGTAAAAGTTAATTGCTGAAAGCTACTACTTTGGGAAGGAAGTCCTAGAGCAACCTTGGATCATAGATATAGTCAGATTGTGAAAATTAGAAGAGTGGTACAGGATGATGGATTCTGTAAGTGAGCTCCACTGATGAGCATGCTGGTCATTCCTGTAATTCTGTGTATGCAATCTGTTTTATCTCTCGTTTTCTATGCTTATCTATCTTAAGATATACATAGTACTTTTTAGGTTCTGAGTTAAAAGTGGGAGGTTTTACCAGCATTTACATGCACACTGTAACAAGTCTGTACCTGAGATGGTTGAATTTGACTCGTGCTGCTTGGAAAGTGGACGGTGTTATTTCAGGATGAATTCAACCTTATAATCTCTGATAATAACTTACTACTTCATGCTGTCTGTCTTCAGGTGACATGCAAAATGTACCTCTTTTTAACATTCTGTATGTTTCTGGAGTATTAGGATCAATTCTGTAAAGCAGCATTACTTTTTTATACCGAATACACTAAACCCTAAGGTAATTTGCTAATTGTGTTGTAATTTTCTACCTTTGTATTAGGTCATTATGTAGATTATTTGACCTCTACAGAAAATGTACCATGAACAGTTGATAATTTCTTTCTTCCTGTCCTATATCACAAATAAAATCTGGCTAAATGCGGATACACAGATCTGCTATTGTTGACAGAAAGTGACAAATAAATATATGTAACTAAACTTAGTTAGATTTTCTCCATTTTCTTTTGCAGGTTGGAGACAGAATTGTTAGCATCTGTGGAACATCTACTGAGGGTATGACTCACTCCCAAGCTGTTAGTCTCTTAAAAAATGCTTCAGGCATTATTGAGTTGCAGGTAAAAAATCTTTAGTGATATTTGGAATGTTTTCTGAACACTATTTCGCCAGCTACTGCAATAAATTATTTTCTTACCAGCATTCTCATTTTACTGGTTTGTGAACTCTGTTCCTAGGTCATAGCTGGAGGAGAAGTAAGTGTCATAACTGGTCAGCAGCAGGATCCGCCTACGTCCAATCTTTCATTTGCAGGACTAACTTCAACCAGCATTTTTCAGGATGATTTAGGGTCAGTAACTGTAGAATATACAATCTGCATTTTGGGTGGAACTCAACCTAAAAAACGTACAAATCTAGCAAATAATGGATAAATTGTTTGACTTAATCATGACTTATGCATTTGATAAGTCATGGGACCTGTAGGCTATAGGTCGTCATCTTCATTGTCTTAATGTGATTTGCTGTGTTTGTTTTATTTTGCCCTTCTGTAGAGTTATGATGTGATTTCATTTCTTGTCTGTAAATACAGCCTCCTTTGTTTCACTGGGCCTTGGTAGCTGGGATTAATCCATACAAGCAAAAGGATTTTTTTTCAGACTTGAATAGCAAGACCCTTTCTACAGTGGTACCCGTGTTTGCTTAGTGTGCTTTCTAGCACTAGGCTATCAGGAGCATCAAACTTTTCTGATATGCAAGGTATACTTCTGCTATACTGCAAGGTGTAGCTACATCAACAAGATTTGCCTCTAACTCTGTCATAAATCCAAGGCATTTTTCTTGTAGAAACAACAAAAGAGAGAATGGGGTTCTTTAGCCACACAGATCCACTTCAAAAGACAGACCTTTAAAATTTATTATAGTCAAAGTATATGTTAGAAAATAGACCTATAAATGGTCTATATAGATGCATAGATACACATACACAGTCATGTATTAGAGGAGGTGAGTAGCATTTAAACTTTATATCATAAACTATTGGGGCTAATTTTAGACATTTTTTAGGAAGTGTAATGGCTTACAGAATTTGTTTGTTACAGAGACTGAGGTGCTGGCATAGCATCTCTACTTTGCTAATAAGCACTGTTAGTGAGACATTGCATCTCTAACTGTGTCCTGAGCTGGACGGAAGAAGTGTGTGAAGTATTTGAGTGCTCATGAGGGCATTAGACAGTTCAAGTGTTTAACATGAACTAAAATAGCCAATTCATTACAATAAAAACATTTGTAGTTATAGTGGAAAGGGAAATGTATTGCTTATCTTGAAAAGAAAAATGTTTAAATCATAAGTTCAAACAACGTCACAATACTTATTTTCCTTTCCTTAGGCCTCCTCAGTACAAGACTATTACTTTGGATAGAGGACCAGATGGCCTAGGCTTTAGTATTGTGGGTGGTTATGGCAGTCCCCATGGAGATTTACCCATTTATGTGAAGACAGTGTTTGCAAAGGTAAGTGTAAATTTGTTCAGTGAATCCATTTATTAATTAGTTCACAGCAGCTACTGTCTTAAATCATGGCCCAAGTTTGAAGCCATAGCATTGTTACAGTTTCTCACATCTTTTCTGCCATAATGCAAGTTCTGGTCAAAATGTGATTGCAGCATTTGAAGGATCTGTTCTTAGGAAGATTCAGAATTTCCAAATGCATGTGCCTCTGCATATGGCAGAATCTTCAGCTCTCAAAATGTGCCTTATATTGAGAGTGTCTTTTCTTCAGGTAGTAGAAGTGACTATTTATTTTGACTGAGAGTCTGAAAGGTAGACTAAGATAAAGCAACTCCATCTGGACCTTTGGAGAAGTTTAGATACTGACCTGGATTTGATAGTTTTGGCTGCCCTAGGAAACAGCCTTGAGTCAGAAAAAAATGGAACCTAGAATCCCTAACTTTCATGGTAAATGAAAGTTCAGAGCTGTGTTTTGATTACTGAATTTCTTATACCAGTTGCTGAAAACTTCCTCAGGTATTGAAAATCTTACTTCTATGATAGTAGAGTTTAAATGTTGTACTAGCTGGACAAATAGGATTAAGGGAATACAAAAAATCCCGTAGATCTGATGTCCAAATGTTGTAAAACTTAGACAGGGCCAGGCATACTGCAGCACTAGCAAGCTGTACTACAGTTGACTGTAGTTGAATCATTGAAAATCAAAAATGTTTTAAGAGTTTTTTGCACTAAACCCATCTTATTCAGAATATAAGGACGGTGTGGCAGACAGAAAAAGAAATGCATGAGATTACAGTTATATGTTGTATCGTTTCAGGGCGCAGCAGCAGAAGATGGACGCTTGAAGAGGGGAGATCAAATCATTGCTGTGAATGGGCAGAGTTTGGAAGGGGTGACCCATGAGGAAGCAGTTGCTATTCTGAAAAGGACAAAAGGAACAGTCACTTTGACTGTTCTGTCCTGAACTGGCTGCCCAAAGGCAGCCAGTCAATAAGACTGTATTAATTACATTCCGCATAGCAAAGAGAATAAAAATGTTTATATAGCCCTCATGCTCTTATAGCTTCACAGGACTCTGTTACAACACTGAAGAAAAATAACATTTAACCGTATTTTTGTATACAATAGAAGTATTTCTCTCACTGTCATACCACTGGGATTGAGTTATGTTAACTATGGAAAGACAGAAGTATTTTTCCTGTTAGTATTATAATGAATGCTTGTAAGCCACCATAAAAAAAAAGGAAAAAAAAAAAAGGAATGTTTGCATTAATAACCACGCAACAAAACTGGAATGTTTTGCTTAGAGGCTTTGGCTATTTGGAGTATGCTGGAAAAACGATAAAGTCTCCAAGTCAGCAAGAGGGTAGCATATGTAGCAGTTGTCAGAAAACAAATAAGATATTGAAGAAAGGAAGTTTTAACAAAATATATAATTTAGGGAAAAGAAGAAATAGTATAACATCTGGAGTCACATGATTAATAAGCTTAGATGGTTAGTTGTATTACTTCACAATGCCCAATCAGAAGCAGCTCGAAGCATGACTTTGGTGGGTTTTTTTGCTTATCTGTTCATGTGTTTAAATTTCTTAAGTCAGGATGTATCAAAAAAAAAGAAAAGTGGTTTAGTTTGGTTTAGGTTTGAGAGGTTTTGGTTGGTTGGTTGTTGGTTTCTTTTTAGGGGGGGACACTGTTGAGTTGTTTTTTTAGGAAGGGGGTGTGAGTGTTTGTTTTGAAAGGAGACGACTTGTGCTCTGAGCTGAAAAATCCACTTGCTAATGGAAACTACCTGGTGAATAAGAGTGCCCAGCAACTGCATGATTTGAAGAACTAGACTTTTATTATTGTTTTCTAGCCTATATAAATGTGAAAGAAACCTTCCCAGTATGAAATGTGTGTAAGCTAAGATTGTTCTCTTCCAAGGTACAAGATTTAACTACAAGTTCAGTGCAGACATTTGTGGGAGCAGCTTGCATAGGAGGTGCGAACAAACTGCCTGGGGCAGGTTTACTTAGTTGCAAACGGAGACTTCATTAAGCCAAGGTGAAAGAATTTGGTGTAATGGTGTTGTTGCTGTTATCAGTAGCAGCAAAGGTAGAGTCCTCCTTGGACTGAGCAAGCATAAAGCCAGAAGTTGAGGGTGGGTAAAAAAGCTGAAAATCCCTCCCAATGGAGGAAAGTAGTAAGACAGCAGTGAGGATCTGTCTGCATCAGCATTAAGCAGAAGAGATTTCAGGGCCACAAATATTTTTGGGGGGTTATTGACTTCAGAGGCACAAATACAAGACAGTGCTTAGTAAGTAACACACACCCATATTTAAGAAGGGTAGAAAGGAGGACCCTGGGTACTACTGACCAGGTTGTCAGCCTCACCTCTGTGCCTGGGAAGATCATGGAACAGATCCTTCTAGAAGCTCTGATAAGGAATATGGAGGACAGGAAGGTGCTTTGAGACAGACAACATAGCTTTAATAGGGGCAAGTCCTGCCTGACCAACCTAGTGGCTTTCTATGGAGTGACTACATCACTGGACAAGGGAAGAGCTGTGGATGTCATCTGTCTGGAGTTCTACAAGGCCTTTGACACCGTGCCCCTCCAGCAACATCCTTCTCTCAAAGTTGGAAAGATACGAATTTTATGGGTGGACCGTTCGGTGGTTAAGGAGTTGATTGGATAGTCACATCCAGAGCGTAGTGGTCAACATCTCGATGTCCAGATGGAAGACAATAACAAATGGTGTCCCTCAGGGGTTTGTACTGGGACCAGTGCTGTAGTCTATATCAGTGATATAGACAGTTAGATTTAGTGCACTCTCAGCAAGTTTGCAGATGACACCAAACTGAGTGATGCAGTTGACATGCCAGAGGGACGAGATGTCATCCAGCAGGACCTGGACAAACTGGAGAAGTAGGCCCAGGTGAACCTCATGAGGTTCAACAAGGCCAAGTGCAAAGTCTTGCACCTGGGTTGGGGCAATCCTCATTATTGATACAGGTTGGAGAATGATGTAATAGAGAGTAGCCCTGTAGAGAAAGGACTTTGGGGTGCTGGTGTATGAAAAGCTGGATATGACCTAACAATGTGTGTCACAGCCCAGAAGGCCAACTGCATCTCCTGAGCTGCATCAGAAATAGTGTGGCAAGTAGGTCAAGAGAGGTGATTCTGCCTCTCTACTCTGCTCTGGTGAGACTTTGCTTGGTGTATTGTGTCCAGTTCTGGAGCCCTCAGTATGAGAAAGACATTGGCTGGGGCAGGTGAGGAGGGCCACAAAGATGATCAAAGGGCTGAAGCACCTCACCTACAAAGATAAGCTGAGAGAGTTGGGGTTGTTCAGCCTGGAGAAGAGGTGGCTGTCGGGAGACCTTGTAGAAACCTTCCAGTACCTGAAGGGGGCTTACAAGGAAGCTGAGGGGGGACTTCTTACAAGGACGCATAGGACAGGACAGGAGGCAGTACTTTTAAACTAGAGCAGCACAGATTTAGATGAGGTATTTGGAAGAAGTTCTTCACTATGAGGGTGGCGAAACTCTGGTACAGATTGCCCAGGGAAGTTCTGGATTCCCCATCCCTGGAGATATTCAAGGTTAGGCTTGATGGGGCTCTGAGCAACCTGATCTAGTAACATTCTCCCTGCTCACTGCAGGGGGGTTTGACTAGAGGACTTCTAAAGGTCCTCCTTCCAGCCCAACATGTTCTATGACGCTGTAAGTCTAAGTGCAGTGCCACCATGGAGCTGTTTATTTGGCAGTAGTATGGTCAACATCCTCAGTTTCTTAAGCTGGCATCCTCACTAAAACTTTATTCAAAAAGCTCACTGAAACCATTGTTGATTGTACCCTGCCTTTGCGACTGCTCCTCCAAAGTAGCTCTTACGAATCTGCCAGATAAAGCACACTTTGCCCATGAAACCTTCCTGCAGAAAAATTCAGCGAAGTCTTGAGAGGGAGAAGGATACCTAGCTAATTAGCATGCTAGTTAGCAGCAAAAATTGTATTAATTAGAGGGAAAAAAAAGTAGCAAGGCAACCACATCAGTTGTCATTTAAGAGAAATCTGAAGTGAAAATGCAGGCAATGGTCAGGCCATTATTAGGGGAAGATACAAAAGACTATGATCTGTTTTAGTGAGACACAAAAACAGTATTAGGACTGTCTGTGAAATTGCATTAACAAATTAATAGCCAGGCCTAAGTGAATTAACTAAAAAAACCCACCCTTTTTATCTCTAGCTGTACTAGAAGTTACGCTGTGGTAGTCTTAAGATGAAAGAAAACAGATGGTACCATTGCTGGATACTGTTGTTACTGCATTGCTCTTCAATACTTACTCCTTGGTTAGAGTGAGAAATGCTTACATTAAAGTATGTTAAGTCACTTTGATTAGTATCTATATTTGTAATAGAAGTAGTGTATTGATATTTTGTTACTGCTGTTGTGTCTAAATGGAGGATGTAAGTGAATAAATTCCAAACTTATGATGAAAAAATAAAGTTGCAGGTGTGTTTCTAAATGCTTTACAATGGCATATTTGCATTGTTCATTCTGTTGTGAAAGATTAATTCAAAGAATTTAAGTTAATAACAAGAAATGGCATTACTTTTTTATGTGAACCTTAAAGCATCTGCTTTATTTGGATTATAAAAATGTTATCTTCACATGTAAACTCTTAGTAAATTCATGAGACCAGATACCAAAACTATCTAGGAATTAATATGAAGCTGTCCTGCTTTTTTAAAACAGTTAAGCATTAATAATTGTTCAGTCTGCTTAAAAAGCATTCCTTCAGGCATGGGACTTGCTCTGAGAGATCAAAACAGTGAGCTATGGAGCCTCTGCTTTTAGCTGTGACCCACGCTGCTGCTTCAGAGCACAGGATCTCCCCAGCGCCCCTTGCTGGGAAAGCTGTTGCACATCCAGTGCTCAGTGGCTGCATGCACTGGACTATGAGTTGTAATGAACTTTGCAGGCTTAAAATGTTTGGTTTTCTTTATAGTTTGGTATTCAATGCAACTTTCACATCACAGGGTTTCATCCTGTAAGGTCCTAGGTACTACAGCCCCAGTTCTACCAAGTCTTTTGGTTTTGGTCACATTTTTTGCATGTGACTGTGTAACCTATGGGAATTGACAAGGTTAGAGATGAAGAGCCTGGTATCTTAAGGGCTCCAGCCCGTTGCCTGTTCATACACCCAGTCCTTTCTTTTAACTCTGCTTACCTCTCACCTGTCAGTGCTAGTAATCTTACAGTGGTATTAATGAAAGAGATTGTAGTTTAGTGTCAGTGTGGGTCTGAACAAATGACAGCTGGCTCATGGTAATGCACATATTTCATTCACAGAATCACAGAACGTTAGGGATTGGAAGGGACCTCAAAAGATCATCTAGTCCAATCCCCCTGCTGGAGCAGGAACACCTAGATGAGGTTACACAGGAAGGCGTCCAGGCGGGTTTTGAATGTCTCCAGAGAAGGAGACTCCACAACCTCTCTGGGCAGCCCGGTCCAGTGCTCTGTTACCCTCACTAAGAAGAAGTTTCTTCTCAGATTTAAGTGGAACCTCCTGTGTTCCAGCTTGTGTCCATTACCCCTTGTCCTATCATTGTTTGTCACTGAGAAGAGCCTGGCTTCATCCTCGTGACACTCACCCTTTATATATTTATAAACATTAATGAGGTCTCCCCTCAGTCTCTTCTTCTGCAAACTAAAGAGACCCAGCTCCCTCAGCCTTTCTGCATAAGGGAGATCCTCCACTCCCTTAATCATCGTTCCTTGATTCCTTGTGAGTGAGCTGGAATCATTGGCATGGCTGCTTTCCTGTTCATTGCTCTGCTGGGTTTTATGTCTGGGTTAGCTTTATGGAAGCAATGGTATTTGTAATTTTCAGGTGGGAGAGTGGAGGAATTTAGTAGCCATTAAGGATACTCTTCCCTTCACCCTATCCAGCCTCTTTTTAAAAGAATAAAAGAACCTATATATTCTGTAGGCCTAGACATGGACTTGCTAAAAAAAAACTACAAAAACCAAAAAACCTAAACTAAGAAAAAAAGTTGTGATATTTGTTTGTAAGGAGTAAAAAGAGAGACTCACAGAGACTTTCAAGTAATGTGGACAAACTTTGTATTTTTAATAGTGTTTTGCAAGGAAGGCCTCATCTCTAAGTGAGAGTGACATTGGAAGGAGGTTGGTAGTGGTATCCCACACACACCTTTTTCTTGCTTCTTAGAAAACAAATTC